GCTATAGGATGATAAATAGAGTATAGTGGGAAAAGCCCTCCCACATATAAAAAAAAAAAAAGCTTTTAAATCTTTACTGCTTGCGCTTTTGCACTTTAAATGTTGAATCTTCTTTGGGTTTATGGAAAGTAAAGGATTTGATTTATGTTATTTTTAACAGCAGCTGGGATAAAGGTGGTATTATCTCTAATGCTGGAGAGGTGGCCACAGATAAGCCCTTGATGGGGGAAGGGAAGGGGAAGTCTTTGGTTTCCAAAAAGCTGGTTGATCACTCCTGTCACACATGCATCTTTGGAACCTGAGTGGGTGGGTGGACACCTGTGCATATTTGGGTCATTGTTTTCATCTACATCATCAGTTGCCTACTGGCTTTTTAAAAATGTTTTTCTGTGCCTGGAAAGGAATCTCATTTCAAGATACCTCGTAAAGAAAGAATATAAAACTTATGGTATCTAGAAGAACATATAATAGGCCTGTGCTGAATTTCCTACTATTTGCATTCAAATGGAGTAATTAATTCAATGGGAAAGCAAGCTTGAATAGGCATGATAGGGGCAGGAAAAATATACATAAAAGTTGTTACTATAGGTCTCTACAATGTGTAGCAGTTTTCCTTTAAATTACAAATTTATCTTTGAAATCAGATGTGATTTTGTGAACATCAAAAATAGAGATTGGTTATCCATGGGGGGCACATTAAATATGAGCTACTAAAACTGAAATATAAATGTTTATAGTAATTAATTTGTATGAAAATGGATAATTAATCAATTTTATGCTGCTTTCCAGGCTTCCTATGCTGTTACAACACAGGCAGTATTCCTTTCCCAGTGGCAAAGTAGATGAGACGGAAAATAGACAGAAATTGAAATAAAACTTGAGCAGATTCCTGCTTTGCTTTACTTTCTCTGAGATACTGAAGTTCTCTTGCTTCCCGTCTGGTCCGTTAAATATGGAAACATTACATCCAGGCTGAAATTTTATAGACACAGGAAAATTTTGCTTTGTGGCTTGAATGTTAGGTTTCCTTAGCCTTTACTCATGTGTGATGAACCCAGCTACATTTTTGTTTAATGTTTTTATTTTATTCTGTGTGTCCTCTACATATACAACCACAGCTCTGCTGTCAGTCTCTTTCATTTCAAACCCTAAGAGGAGAACATCTCCCATATGTGCTTCTCTGGGAAGAATTTGCAACACAAAATGTGTTAATGATGATTTATAAAATACATTTGCATGGTAATACTTTATTTCATTCCATTAAGGAGGACAAACCTATTGATGCTGTTCATGTGCTTTGGTAAAATGGAGGGCCAGCACTTGGTATCTATACACTCTCAGTATAGACAGGATGCTTCCTACGGCTTTGAAATCTCTAGAAAATAACCCGAGGTAATCACAGATTCTTATGGTCAGATGGGATTTCACTGATCATCTCGTCCAATTTTTGTCATTTTACATAGAAGGAAATTGAGACCCAGAAATGTGGAGCATCTTGTCTCACATAAAACTGCACTGTGTCTGCTTAGTGCACAGCCTGATAGTATCTATGGAAATGTTGTATATTGGAACATAAACTGCTTTGAGCCAATTTTTTGTATGTTCTTTTGTTTACAGTAGGATGTGTATTCCAGAGAAGGCCTTTGTTGATTTAGGAGTTTCAGAGAAAACATAATGACCAAGCATCATTTTTCCATTGTGCAGGGCTCTTAGGAGAGATCTGGGGTTGAGTGTGTGAATGGGTGTGTAGGTGTGGCTGAAACAGTTCATCGTACACTACCCTGGCATTTAGTTTTCTGATTTGGGTGAGTCTGGTTTCTTTTTTCTTTTTTCTTTCTTATACTTTTTATTTATTTTTGAAACAGAGAGAGACAGAGCATGAGCAGGGGAGGGGCAGAGAGAAAGTGAGATGCAGAATCTGAAACAGGCTCCAGGCTCTGAGCTGCCTGCACAGAACCTGATGGGGGGCTCAAACCCATGAACCGTGAGATTATGACCTGAGCCAAAGTTGGATGCTTAACTGACTGAGCCACCCAGGTGCCCTGGGTGAGTCTGGTTTCTTCGAAGAGGTAACAACCACTGTGACACCAATGTCTTCTTCATTTATCACCAGTTCTGTGAACTTCCATTGGAAGCCTTTATTAACCTTTGTGTATCAGATTCCTTTTGGGATTGTGATTCTAAACAAATCCCCCAGAAAGCAGTGAATTGATTAAAAATTTGAAAGTGCTTTGGGAAATCAGAACCAGAGCCTGTCTGAGGCTAGGGTATGAATAAGTAGTATAATACTCACTCTTCCTGGACTTTTATTGCCCTGGAGTTTTGATCTCTCTCTCTCTCTCTCTTTCTATAATAGCCAGGTCTAGGGGTGCCCCTGTGGTTCAGCCAGTTAAGCTTCTGACTTCGGCTCAGGTTATGATCTCATGGTTAGTGAGTTCGAGCCCAGTATCAGGCTCTGTGCTGACAGCTCATAGCCTGAAGCTTGCTTCGGATTCTGTGTCTCCCTGTCTGTCTGCCCCTCCCCTGCTTGCACTCTGTTTTCATCACTCTCAAAATAAATAAACATTTAAAAAATTCTTTAGAAAAATTAACCAAGTCTAGTAAGGTTTTAAAAATTGTATTCAAGGGTGGTTAAAACTGTGGGGAATGGATTTCTCTCTCTTGCAATTAGGTGGAGAAAGCTTTTGAATTGAAGCTTAAAACCACTTTCTAAGGCAGGTACCAAAGTGATAAACCTACCTTATGACACAGTATTTTATTTTTGCAAATAACTTTGGTTTCAAAAATTCATCCATAAACTTGCTTATCATTTAATTTAAAATTTAAATGTTCAAGAAATTGGGAGGGGGCACTGAAGTGCAGTGTTGGAAGGTTTCTGAAATAATATGTCATAGGAATAACTTATTCTTAAGGTTTTTTTTCAGTTCAATAAGTCTTTTCATTCTCTGTGCCCGTTTTTACTTGGGAAGTTACATGTTCCTGATCAAAATGGGAGCTTTCTTGATTTTCTTCCCTCTACTTTTGTAGGTAAAATAATTTTGCTATTGTTACTAGGTGAATATTAAGAACCTAAAGAAATAGGAGTGCCTGGGTGACTCAGTCAGTTATGCGTCTGACTTCAGCTTAGGTCATGATCTCATGGTTGGTGGGTTTGAGCCCTGTGTCGGGCTCTGTGCTGACAGCTCAGAGCCTGGAGCCTGATTCAGATTCTCTGTCTCCCTTTCTTCTGACCCTCCCCTGCTCACGCTATCTCTCTCTCTCAGAAGTAAATAAAATATTTTTAAAAAATTAAAAAAAAAGAATTTAAAGAAATATAGGCTAATTTCTGGCAATCACATTTAATTTCATATTTTGTTCAACCACCTTTCATCTTTGGGGTGACTTCAGCTCTAGTCATGATCTTGTGGTTTGGTTCATGAGTCTGAGCCCCCCATTGGATTCTCCGCTGTCAGCAGGGAGCCCTGTTGGGTCATCTGCCCCCCTCTCTCTGTCTCTGTCCCTTACCTACTTAAACTCTCTCTCTCAAAAGTAAATGAACATTAAAAAATATTTTTTAAAAAGGAAAAAGAAACTCACTACCTTGAGTAGAAGCTGCTTCTGAAACTAAAAATAATATCTATTTGAAATATTTTGGGGCGCCTGGATGGCTTAGTCGGTTAAGCGTCCGACTTTTGCTTAGGTCATGATCTCGCNAGCCTGGAGCCTGTTTCAGTCTGTGACTCCCTCTCTCTCTGACCCTCCCCTGCTCACGCTGTCTCTCTCTCTCTCTCTCCTAGAAATAATAAAAAAAAGAGAAATGTTTAGAGTACAAGATCCTAAACATTGTCATTTTATGCTAGACTAATGCTAGAAGAAAGATAAATTAAGTAGCTTAGATTATTATATTAGTAAGCTAGATTGCTAATAAGCTTATCAACTTTACCTTAAAAGACAACTTTACTTTATTATGACTTACACTTATATTATTTTAAACGTAGTTAGTTAACATCTTAATGTTATATGTGTTTAAGAGCAATTTATTACTCTTGAAATTCTAGAAGCCTTTAAAAATTTCAATATAACCCAAAATTAATATAATTTAAGATGATAGTTAATTCGTATTTTGTATATACTAATCCCTGATTTATACTTTTTGGCAAAGTATAGTTTGGAATTACTACATGATATCTATTTATCTAACATATTGTAGAAAGGAGCAACCTCTCCTGAATTCAGCATAGTTGCTTTTGTTGATTAGAACATGTTCCCTCTCTAGTTATCCCAGGTAGTCAATGTATTGGTTATAATAGCCAAGATGATACTTAGGTGCTTGAGGTAGAAAAGCCCCAAATAACAGAGGCTAAAATAAGATAGAAGTTTGTTTTTCTTTCAGTAAAAGAAGTTTAGGGCAGCAGTCTAGGACGGATACAGTAGCTCCTTGTTATCTGGTGGGTTCCATGTTCCTACCACTTTGCTCTACTGTCCTCTACTACCATACCCAAATGCATCTCCTGGTCTGAAACAGCAACTGGAACTCTGGCCATCAAGTCCACATTACAGGCTAGAAGCAGAGGGAGAAGGAAAAGGGCAGAAAGGAGGCCCCTCCTTAATTAAGTTGGCTCTCTTGAAGCAGTTCTCCCAGACATTCATTTAAACCTCATTGGTCAGAACTTAGCCACATGTACATACCTTGCTGTGATGGAGATAGGGAATGTAGTTGTAAAATCTTGGCAGGAATATGCACAGCTGAAAAGCAGGATTTTATTAGTAAGGAATGAGGAGATAGATGATGGATGGTGGGGGTAGGCAGTACCACATGGTTTTGTGTTCCTGTTATATGCTGGGTCTTGGAGCTACTATGTAGAAACTCACAACACCTCCTTCTGTTTTTGCCATGAGCTATGGTTTCTTAATTTAGAAATCTGGCTTAATTTAGAAATCCTGTTTCTGCTGCGAAGTATGATTTCTTTATTTGGCAATCTTGTCTGACTCTTGCTTTCTTCTTTCCTCTTGCATTTCAGCTGTTTTGGAAAGAAGTAAGGTTTAGACTTCTCCATGTTAACCATGAGTGTGACACTTTCCCCACTGAGGTCACAGGACCTGGATCCCATGGCTACTGATGCTTCACCCATGGCCATCAACTTGACGCCAACTGTGGAGCAGGGTGAGGGAGAAGAGGCAATGAAGGATATGGATTCTGACCAGCAGTATGAAAAGCCACCCCCATTGCATACAGGGGCTGACTGGAAGATTGTCCTCCATTTACCTGAAATTGAGACCTGGCTCCGGATGACCTCAGAGAGGGTCCGTGACCTAACCTATTCAGTCCAGCAGGACTCAGACAGCAAGCATGTGGATGTGCATCTAGTTCAACTAAAGGTAAGGAAGGTCTCTGGACTTGGGTCCATTCTAGACAGAAGTCTGAAAGAGGCCGTAGCACCTGGAGCCTGAATTCTGTAACTTGCAATGAGGAAACGTCCGGGAAGAAAAACAGAATAGGGGGTTCAATACACATGGGCAGAATTCATTCTTTCCTGGTTTTAATACATGGGTTGGTTATCTGGAACCAAAGTGATCTTAGGGGCTAATGCAGACAGGTGGGGGAAAGAGAAGGGTATTTTGGTGCAGTGTCATAGAAATCAGTTATGAAGAATAAAAGTATTATAAAATGTTTAGTAAGACTCTCACAGGTAAAACATCAAACTGAGCTGTGATTGTGAGTATGTGTATGTGATTATTATCGTCTGTTGCAGTTGATGCCACCTTTGTGGTAAACAGTGGGTTCTGGCATGATGGGGAAGGGCAGCATTCGCCTTTTAGAATGAGTCCTTTCATCCAGGTACAATGCGTCATGCAGAACAAAGGTGCTTTTATCTGAACTCACTCAAGTTCAGATGTTAAAAAATGTCTGTGGCGTCTAGAGTCCTTGAAAAGCCTGACATTTGTTGATCATGAAACAGAGGTGCTAGTAAAGAGTGCTATTAATAGAGATTCTGGCCTCGGTACCCCACCGTACCATGAATCTGGTCCTGTCATAGCCACTTCTCCTATCCAGGTCCCCGAGGCAAACACAGGCTCAGGTTAATGACTAGCAAAGTAAGGCAGATTTATCACCAGTCAGGGCATTGGCCCGAAACCCTAATGTAAATTTCTAGTTAGTTAGATGAGATCCTAAGGAGAATTATTTTACATAAGTGAATTCATCCTAAATGACCTGAAACCAAAGACCAAACAGATTCTTGGATCTTAACACTTAAATGGTTTATAGGCTGCAGCCGTCAGTGTGAGAAGAGAAGGTGGGGAGTTAAGGTAATAGAACATGTGCCCCAAAGCCTTGAACAGAGCTGGCTCAGATCCTGAGACCATCTTCCACGTTAGGGAGAATGTCCCAGAGAGAGAAGGATGGAAATGGGGGTGAGAGAGAGAAAACAAAAGAAGCCAGAATGGCAAGGTGGCTGGCTGGGCTTCTCCCAGGTTGAGCAGACTTGGGTGGTCTTCTTTCCATAGGTTCTTGGGAAGGAGAAAGTGCAAAAGAATAACAGAGAGAAGGCTAGGAACTAGCTTCAGTGTAAGCCTGCCCATTTCCCCACTGTGGTCATAGGGAGTGATACATTTCAGTCCTTGAAATATGGTTCCTTTAATTAAAGGAACAGCTCTCCTTGAGGCTGGAGTGAAATGCAAGTCAGGGGGCTTCACCTCATTCCTCCTCTCCTCTGTTCCCTCTAATGCTGCACTTACATGTTGCTCCTGTAAGTAAATACAGAGTTGGGGTTGTAAGGCAAGTTGGCTGTTGCTCCCCCCAAATCTTTCAGATTTCCACAGAAAAGACGGCAAAAGATTAAAGGAGAATAGGGGAAATGGAAATAACTTCAGAAGACTCCACTAAAAATACTGCTAAGGGCTCCTAAAAACATCAATGAGTCAGTTAACTTCATTTAGTTACATCACAGAATACATCAAAATTTAAGTCTTACTTTCATACAGGAATGGAAAGTTTTTATATAATTGGCCAGGGTTAGGGTTAGTGTTTGAGAAATCACCTCTAGAGTGATTTGTTTGTCTTTTTCTCATTGGAACTGTCACCTTCTCACTTTAGTCAAAAGGCATCTGATGCCTGCCTCTACCCAGCTCTGTCCCAAGGTGTGGTCTGTCTTCTCTGCTGAAAAAGGAGCCCCAGAAGAGCAGGAATTCGACATAGTAATCACATAGTTGTTAATCAAAGACTGTTAAAAGGATGAATTGACATTGTCTTATGTTACTTTAGTTTTAGGGTTTCTATCACTACTTTTTTTTTTGGATACTTGTTTCATCAAGTGACTTAATGAACATTTTTTGTTGTGTTCTCAAATACTCTGTAATAATAGAGCCCTTCCACATTGAGCCCAAAGTCATTGAGCTCTGGTCAGTGAACTGAAACTTAATCTACATATGGCTTTAGTTTTGGTCTCCTAATTTCATATATAGTTAAATTTCCCCTTTATTTGTGTGGTATTTCTTTATTCAACCAACTAAACACTTTGATATATTTCAAACAATTTTAAATGCATGTCAATTTGTCACATTTCCACATTGATCCACAGAATAAAGGGGAAACTTGGACATAATGTTTTATATGTGAAAGCACAACCAAACAACCTTGTTGGCCAGCTCTCAAGTAAGGGATATGGCAAAGCAGAGGGGCAGACCCAGCCCGGGCAAGACCAGCCATCTGCTATGGGACATCCCAGCTTGGCTCTTACTGCCTTGGTGAATAACTCAGTTTATTAATTTACCATGAAAAATAACCATCCCAGGGATGGGAATGCCATGGCTTTAAGGACCATCGAGGCACAGATAATTTCTAAATTTATATATCTGTCCTAATGTTTTCCCAGGAACTTCATCTGCCTAACTGACATCTCTAATTGTATCTTTAAGTGAGCATCTCAAACCAGATATGCTCATTGAAAAGCTCTTAATCCCTCCTACCCCCCCATCTTTCCAATTACTACAAATTGCAAAGCCCAAGTGTGACTCCCCATTCCACACATCTATCTTATCAACGAGTCCTGTGGATCCATATCCAAAATATGACCTAAAGCCATTCACTTCTCCACAACACTGCTGTTGCTCACTAGACAAACCACAAGCTTGCCTGGGCTACTTTTAGAGTCTCCTCTACCACCTGCAGTTTATTCTCCACATACTAGCCTATGAAATCTTTTAAAAATGTAAATCAAGTTGTGTTATTCTGTGCTTCCTATTGGCTTATAATAAATCCAAAATCACTTCCTGTGGCTCCACCGTTTGGTTCTGCCCATGTATCCTGTTACTTTCTCCTTGTTCGTGAAGCTCCAGACACATTGAAGTTCCAAAGGAATGTTAGGCTAGTTCTTGCCTCAGAACTTTTCCTGTTGCCTCGCCTAGAAACTTCTTTCCTCTTTCTTTGCCTGGTAGAGTTTCGATTGTCATCAAGCAGTGATGCAGAGGTGCAGCCAAGTTCCAACATCTGGAGGTGCAAGCCTAGGAGAGGGTTAGGCATAGGATAAGGGTGAGGTGGGGCCTGCACTGTGTTTGGTGAAGGGCAAGCACAAAAAAAAGAGCTATCCTCACCTAACTTGTTTTTGTGCTTCACACTTCGTTTCACATTGCTTGCTCTATGTCTTGTTACCATGGTCTTCTCTGCCATTGTGTGGATGTCTAACTTAAAAAATGAGTTGAGAAGTGCTTTTGGAAAATGCTCCTGATAGGCTCAGCCTGTGGTTTTGTTTGTTTGCTTTATTTGTTTTTTTTTTTTAGATTCCACATGTAAGTGAAATCATATGGTATTCATCTTTAACTGACTTATTTCACTTAACATGATGTTCTCTAGCTACACCCATGTTGTCACAAATGGTAAGATTTCATTCCCTTTTATGGCTGAGTAATATTGCATTGTGAACTATATCAGTATATATACCGATCTTTATTCATTTATCTATTGATGGGCACTTGGGTTGCTTCCATTTCTTGGCTTTTGTAAATAATGTTGCAGTAAACATAGGGATGTAGATATATTTTGCATTAGTGTTTTGTTTTCTTTGGGTAAATACCCATTAGTGGAATTTTTGCATTGTATGACATTTCTGTTTTTAAATTTTTTGAGGAAACTTCATATTGTTTTCCACAGTGGCTACACCAGTTTATATTCCCACCATCAGTGTATAACAGTTTCTTTTTATCTTTACTAACACTTGTTATTTCTTGTGTTTTTGATTTTAGTCATTCTGACAGATGTAAGGTGATATCTCATTGTAGTTTTTGATTTGCATTTCCCTGATAGTTTGTGATGTTGAGCATCTTTTCATGTGTCTTTGGCTGTCTGTGTTTCTTCTTTGGAAAAATCTCTATTCAGGTCCTCTGCTCATTTTTTAAATGGATTATTATTTTTATTATCATTTTTGATGTTGAGTGGTATATTTTTTTATGTATTTTGAATATTAACCCCTTATCAGATATATCATTTGCAAATATTTTCTCCCACTTATTACATTGCCTGTTTGTTTTGTTGATGGTTTCCTTTGATGTCCAAAAGCTTTTTATTTTGGTGTAGTCCAAATATTTTAATTTTGCTTTTGTTTCCCTTTCCTGAGGAGACATATCCATAAATATGTTGCTAAGGCCATTGTGCAAGAGATTACTGCACATTTAGGAGTTTTATGGCTTCAGGCCTCAGATTTAAGTCATTAATCCATTTTGAATCTATTTATTTATTGCTTTAATTTTTATTTGTTATTTATTTTTATTTAATTTAAAATTTTAGTTAGTTACCATATAGTGTAGTATTGGTTTCAGGAGTAGGTTTCAGTGATTTATCACTTAACATACAACATCCAGTGCTCTTCACACATGCTTTCCTTAATACCCATCTACCCGTCTTTCATGTATGGTGTAAGAAAGTGGTCCAGTTTTATCCTTTTGATGTAGTTGTCCAGTTTTCCCAAGACCATTTGTTGAAGAGACTGTCTTTTTCCCATTGTATAATCTTGCCTCCATAGTTGTAGATTTTTGGCCATATAATCATGAGTTTATTTCTGAGCTCTCTAGTGTGTTCCATTGATCTATGTGTCTATTTTTGTGCCAGAACCATACAGCTTTGTAGTATATCCTGAAGTATGGCATTGTGATACGTCCAACCGTGTTCTTCTTTCTCAAAATTGTTTTGGCTATTCAGGATATTTTGTGGTTCCATACAGATTTTAGGACTGTTTGCTCTAGTTCTGTAAAAAAATACTATTGGTATTTTGACAGCAATTGCATTGAATCTATAGAATGGTTTAAGAAACAAGGAGATTTTAACATTAATTATATTAAACATCACTTTCTCAAAGAAGCCATTCCTGACCCCTATTCTAAAACAC